ATACTAGACATAGGCAAGTCGGAATTTTAATATATTAAAAAAAAATATATATAAAAGATTGCATTTTCTATCTCTTTCAGATCGAAGTCCACGAAACCAAACTGATTCAACCAAGGAGGTTGAATCTGTCTGGATGGTGGCTTATTATAAAGATCATTTTCCAAGTAAGTTTCAAAGCACTTATCAGGAATTTGAGAGTGGATACGGAGATATGGAAATAGACTGGCACTTAGATTAATTTATCGGCATCAAACTATTGGACTATCCGACGAATGGAAAGCCTCACGAATTAATCCTAAACTATGATGAGGGGCAAGCACAGGAAGTAAGATGCGACAACTTTGTTGCTGGTCCTTAGTCAGGGCGGCAAATTTTCTACCTATGATCGAGATCAGGATGGAGTTTCAGATCTTCATTGGACAGCAGAAAAACGTTTTGGTTGGTAATTCAATTATAGGCATGTATTCCCATTTTGTTTAACTTTTGATTTTATCTATAAAAGGTAAACAATAGCTATGCTGGCGGATTCTTAATAAACCTCTCATAAGAGATATTTTCATATTCTCAAACGCCTATTTCCATAGAAAGTTGGCCCTTAAAAAGAGAAACAATAATGGAAAACTCTAATTTTGATTTGGTAGTTGAGTTAAAATGGAAATAGTCGTTTTAAGATACATATTAATAATATATATGGATACTTAAGGTAACTGATACCATAGTTTTTATATCGTCTCAACATTATTATGGAATTTTCGATCTTTCAGTAATGGGAAATATATATAAGACGAAGTATTTGTGAAAAGATCAAGAGAGACCCATTTGGCTGGAAGAATCACATATAAAGACCAACGTCCAACGACCAACGAAAAATACCTCTTAGGATAAAAGTATTTAACTTTGGCATAGCATACTCGTATTATTTATTATGAACGTGATTTGTGTCTTGATTTTTTATACATTAAATATATAAAAGACAGATATTTAAGGCGCTTTATTCAATCCTTAAACTGTTTAAAGAATTGCTCCTTAAATCCTTAAATTGCTCCTTGATTGCTAAATATTCAAGGTTTCTTAACCTGAGTATGTGAAATACGTGATTAATATAAATAGACCGTGAGTTATGGAAAAAAAAACGATTTAAAGTTTTAAAAACCTATTTAAAATAGCTTTTCTTAAATAAACCTCTGTCTATTTAACCGATTGTCATGAAGTTTTTAAATCATTTAAGATATAATAAATTGCTTTTTAATTTCTTTTTAAAATCAAAAACCAAAAACTGTTTTGAGTTCTACTCTCTAAACTGAATCAAAATAAAAAGTTGCTTTAAACTTGCAAACTAGATGGTATTTAGGTTTTACTACTTAAGAAATTAAATATGAAATTACCAAAGTACTAAAGTAAAAAAATATATAAAATAGACTAATTATAAATACTTATTTTAAAGCTCAGCTTTTAAAGTTAATGGGAATTATTCCAATTTTAAAGAAAAGATAAATAAAAACCCAAGAAGGTCTTCGGAAGAAGTGAAATTTTTTGTAATCCCTCAGACTCACCACAAGCTTTCTCATCACTTCCGTCGCCACAGTCGTCTTGACCATCGCAGAGCCACTGCCTCCGCCTCAGACACCGTCCGTTGGCGCAGAGATGACCCTCCGAAGGGCAGTTCGCCTCCGTTTTTTGGCGCTCGCATCCGTCCAGTTCGTCGGATCGGTCAGAACAGTCCGCCCGGCCGTCGCACATCAGTTCCAGGGGCAGGCAGGTGCGGTCCTGCTGGCAGGTCCACTCCGAGCTAGAACAGTTGCGCCGCCTCTGGGGGAATAGGGATCGGCTGGGGCAGTTGAGTTCGTCCTCGCCGCCAGGACAATTGTCGATGCCGTTGCACATTAGTTCCGCTGCCAGGCAGGCGCCGTGTGGCTGGGCACACGGGAACCAATGTGGCTCTCGGCACAGTCGGTAGTCTGGAAAGGATTAGAGCTCGTCTCATACACTATCTGGGGAAGAATCAGTGGCCATACCGCAGTCCAATTCGTCTGTGCCGTCCTTGCAGTCTCCATGTCCGTCGCACATCTTCGCCAGTAAGATGCAGCCGCCGTCTCTGCACCGGAATTGTCCTGCCTCGCATGTCCCCGCGTCCTGGGATCCCGACGCGGTGGCAAGAATCGCACAGCATAGTAGCAGAATCGCTGCCACAAATTCATACCGGCCTCCGCATCCGTGTCCATGTCCCTTGTGACTGATCCTGGGCGACCTGGCCAGATCGCGAGCGCGTGTCTGGTTGGCAATGGAGGTTAGGTCGAATCTCTGGCCGCCGCCGGCTCTCATCTTGGGCACCGGGCCCGCGATCTCCTCCTGGCTCTCCAGTGGATGACAGTGCTCCACCCGTAAGAACATTCAACGCAAATACACTGAGATTAAAACGCAACAAATACCACGCAAAAGACAAGGAAAAACAGGGAACAAAGAAGGGAAAACGTGGACCACTCACGGCTAGCAGCTTGGAAAGCTGAAAGCTAATTGAACGAGCTCGAGGTTCTCAGAGACGGTGCTTGGAAGGTTCCCGCCCAGATCGGCCGTTCCATGGAAGGGAACCGTAATATATACTGTTTCAACCCAAAAAACCTAGCTTCTGGGCACTTTGGGATCCGGTCACTTTAATTTTGAAGCTTTCTTTTGATTGGAATTTTAAACGGATTTTCAAAAATTAAGCCCAGGTAATGTATTTTTAACTTTTTTTGTTTAATTGTTAATTATTTTTACAAATCGTAACACATATTGGAAACAACTCTAAATAAAATAGATAAAAATGAAAAAGCCATTAATATTCACTAATGATCAAGTAATAAATTAATTAATGAATGAACAAAATATAAGAAGATCTTGGTCTTACATCTTAAGTTTAATTTTAAAGAGTTTTTAAGTTTTTAAACATGTTCCATTTGATTAAAATTAAAAAAAAAAATGTAAATGACAAAATACTTGTTCATTGTTGAGTAGTTTTAAGTTTTTAAGACTTTAATGTTTTTAAGTTTTAATAAAAGCTTTAGTATACTTAAACAAAATCCCTAAGGTAACACTAATATACAAACGGTCATGCTTTCATACTTTTATTTATTTGAAACTTATTTTCAAAAAATTAGATTATTTTTTCAATTCTCTTAAAATTTTGTTCAGTGGAAAAAGATATCACAAGCTGATCTATTTAAATGAAACGAAAGTCCATCATATTGTTAAAGTTTGTTTTGGAATTTCAGAAAAGGACTGAGGTGAGAACTGCACCAAATACAGATTGATTAATTGCCTGGCGATGTCGTTATGATGTCAGCGATTCGGATGATTTGGAATGGACTTCATTTCGGATTTTAATACAGAATTAATTTTGGCTATGCCATTAGCTTGGGTTGTGGATTTATATTTGGATTCGGATTGCAGTGGGAACCCGAGAAACCCGAAACATCTGGAATGACCCATTGCAACAATTAATAACGGTTATGCCCCCGAGATTTATGAGCGACGACATATAAACAAGACCAAAGCATTTTAGCCGTCGACCGCAAAAAGTCATAACAAACAAAAAAAAACAATAATAAAAATAATAATAATAATAAACAATGAAACAAATACAAAACTGCAGAGGTAGTGAACAACACAAAAAACCCGAATTGTTTAGAAACCGAAACCTTAAACTCACTCACAAATTGTATAATTTAGGAAGAAGAGCGAGTGTCGGTTGTCAGTGCTGGTTCGACTACGACTTCCACTTCTCACGCCGTAGGGGGCGTGGTGCACTCATAAAGGTAAAAAAAACAAGCACAGAGGTATGACACATTGCACTGAGAAAAATGTGATTTTTTTTTAAGAAATAGTCTTTCTGGAGATGCCCATATCCTGAAGGACATATCTTGAAGGAATAGCCTAAAGAGCCTAAAAAAAAAAGGAATAAAATAATCCCATAGCTTAACTTTATTATCTTTAGTTTTTTTTAATAAATAAAAAATATCTAAAATTAATTAAGGTTTATGATAACTTAAGAGCATTAACACTATATTGAATTTGAATTTTAAAAAATATATCTCTTCATCTGTTTAAAACGCATTTTTTAACGTAAAACGTATACGTAACGTGTAACGTATTTTTCAACGATTTTTATACCGCAAATTTTCTTGAATTATTAATATTATATAATACATCACATTTTTGTTTAATTGAAAAATATTTATATCTATATTAGAAATTAGGATCTAGAAACTACTTGAAGATTCTACTCTACTCTAATTTAATTTTACAAGTGAATATAAAGTTTATTGGGAATCTTATAGCATAAATTAATTGGGAAAATAAAGCATCAATATAGGCATTTTTTAAGCTCCAGAATAGTTTATTTTTTTAAATAATTAAATATATATGTAAGTACTAGAGACGTTATTAAAAAAATGATTGGAATACTACAAATTTTTTGTAAATACAGAGTATTTATTTTATTTTTATAAAATAAAAACAGTAATAATCTTGAAGTAAAAACTAGTTCTTTAATAAGGAATAATGAATATTTTGTATTATTTTATTTAATATATGTCAAGATTTTGATAACTTTTTCGAGTGTATTACCCTCTATGAACGTGGTTTTTCCAGGGCCAGACAATTTGGAAGCTTTGCCGGCCGGATGAGTCGTTGGACACACACCATGGTGCTAACATGACGATGACAGACGAACATGACGAGCACCAAGCCTGGACCAGGGGGGCTGGGTAACTAGGGGAAGAATTCTCCACAGTCTACTATCTTCTGCCTTGTGGCCCCTGTCCCCGGCACCCGTGTCATCTGTCCAACGGGTTGTGCCCGTTGAGTAATGAGCTCTGCGTCCGGCGACATGTCCGCACCAAGGCGTTCCGGATCGGTGTTGGTTGTAAAGTATGGCATCTGATTTGGTTGCACAAACCGGGCTTAGAAGCAAACCTATATAAAAACTAGAGACTCCAAGCAGATCATCAGCAGTTGCTCGTCGCCTTCCAATCGCGGTGTTTAGACAAGACTAGTGAGAACGATTCTCCCAAAAGGATATTTTCGATAAGAATTTATAAAATAAAACTACATACCATCTTAAAAATGGTAAGTAACTTTCTATTAGTCGAAAATTTAGGAGATATATTTTAAATTAAACTTGAGCTAAAAAAAAAAACATTAGTTTGGAAACAAATTTAGTAAAAGCAGCTTCTTGATTAAAAAGATAAACTTTCTTTTAATAATCACATTTTTTGGTTTTAAAATCTAAATAAATATTAAATCTTTGTCTAAATTAATAATTCTAGTCTTATAATCGTATTAATTATCAATTATCATCATCTAACACCATAGAACTCCCTTACCGTACTGGTCATCCTTGCTGCCACATTGGCCTTCTGCGCCGGTGATGTTTCCCACTTGTCCCGCAGCTACCTGCCTCCTCTGGCAGGCGGATACTCCGGTTACTCCTCCGGCTACTCTTCCTACCCCTCGTACTCCAGTGGTGGAGGCTACTATTCCACCGGTGGCAGCTACGCCTCGCCGTTGATCTCCTCCAGCTACAAGAGCTATGCGGTGCCCCAGTATACCTCGTATGTGACACCGTCCCGTTCCTACCTTCCAGCCGATGCGGGCTACTCCGGCTACAATGGCCTGGACACCCAGTACGGCAGCAACGGCGGATACGTATACTAGGATGTATGTCCCCTTTTTTAGAAGCAACAATGGACACTTCCTCCAATAAAAAACCTATTTTTTTTCCCCACTAGGCGTAAGCTATTTTTTACTAAAAATTATTATCAATGCTTTTTACTAAATAAACGAGATTCAAAACTAATACAAAAATATTGATAAAATATTTATTTTTATTAACTTATTTTTAAGGATTTATAAAGGATTTTTAAGGATAGGTATGGAAATTATTTCGATAGATAGGAAATTTTATTCAAAATTACTCATCTCTAGAAGTTTCAAATGACTTAAAAACGTCTTAAATTAATGCCGATTTCAGCCGTGCATAAAGCCCTAAATCTTATCGATTACTTTTTCTCCAAATTTGTTGATCTCACAACTAAGTAGGCCTTATACACAGAATTTCCTATATAAGTGGATTGGATTCCGTAAATCAGAATCAGTTTGGTCCGCCCAGTCGGACAGTCCAGAAGCTGACTAAATATTTTGTTTTTTATTTTATATATTTTGTTTTTAATTTTGTTTCGTCTTCTTAATTTCTTTAACCAGTTCAGTGGACTCTGATATTCCTCCACTATTTCGATTTTGATGGTGTTTAAGCTGGTGTTTGTTAAATATTTTTTTTTTTAATTCTTATTTTTGCTAGTAATCACTACTGTGGACTCTGAAGCGCCTCCATTCTTGTCTCCTAGACAACGTTTATGTCCTAAAGGGCGTTTTAAGCGGTTGTTTCTTATTTAAATATATATTTATTTATTTATTAATTTTTTTTTGTCTTCTTAATTTCTTTAACCAGTTCTGTGGACTCTGATATTCCTCCACTATTTCGATTTTGATGGTGTTTAAGCTGGTTTTTGCTAAATATATTTTTTTTTAATTCTTATTTTTGCTAGTAACCACTACTGTGGACTCTGAAGCGCCTCCATTCTTGTCTCCTAGACAACGTTTATGTCCTAAAGGGCGTTTTAAGCGGTTGTTTCTTATTTAAATATATATTTATTTATTTATTAATTTTTTTGTCTTCTTAATTTCTTTAACCAGTTCTGTGGACTCTGATATTCCTCCACTATTTCGATTTTGATGGTGTTTAAGCTGGTTTTTGCTAAATATATTTTTTTTAATTCTTATTTTTGCTAGTAACCACTACTGTGGACTCTGAAGCGCCTCCATTCTTGTCTCCTAGACAACGTTTATGTCCTAAAGGGCGTTTTAAGCGGTTGTTTCTTATTTAAATATATATTTATTTATTTATTAATTTTGTTTTGTCTTCTTAATTTCTTTAACCAGTTCTGTGGACTCTGATATTCCTCCACTATTTCGATTTTGATGGTGTTTAAGCTGGTGTTGGTTAAATATATTTTTTTTTAATTCTTATTTTTGCCAGTAACCACTACAGTGGACTCTCCAAATGCCTCCATTTCTCATAGACACCGTTTATGTCTGAAAGGGCTCTTTAACCTGTTGTTTCTTATTTAAATATATATTTATTTATTTATTAATTTTGTTTTGTCTTCTTAATTTCTTTAACCAGTTCTGTGGACTCTGATATTCCTCCACTATTTCGATTTTGATGGTGTTTAAGCTGGTGTTGGTTAAATATATTTTTTTTTAATTCTTATTTTTGCCAGTAACCACTACAGTGGACTCTCAAATGCCTCCATTTCTCATAGACACGGTGTCTATTATTATTATTATTATACTATTATGTCTGAAAGGGCTCTTTAACCTGTTGTTTCTTATTTGAATATATATTTATTATACCCTTGAAGAGGGTATTATAATTTTTTCCAAAAGTGTGCAACGCATTGATGGAGACATCTCCGACCCTATAAAGTATATATATTCTTGATCTTTATATTCTTGACCTCCTGAGTTGATATGAGCATGTCCGTCTGTCTGTTTGTTTCTACGCAAGCTGCGCGAAAAAAAGAAAAAAACAATTTAATTAAATCTTAAATTTTTGGCGAATTTTTGGGCGGGCTTTTCAGAAATGAAGTCCACGTGTCTGACACTGCACTGGGACTGATAAATATAATACACACATATGTGACACCATGGGGTGTCGAACTCGAGACTTCCCTTCATAGAAAGTATATATAGAAATAGAAATTAAATTAAATAGTAAGGAGACCATGAATATATTTAAGAAAGTAATTTTCTTAAGGGGCTTTCTATATTGTGTAAAATCTTTTAATTTACGGAACTTATCGTCCGTTTGATGGAGCCGGCTGGTGTCAAGCGTGTTTAAATTTTCAAAAGCGTTTTTCTCGAAACCATGTTTTTCGAGCTGATGGAAGTTCTACTATAGGTCGCAAAAATTAAGAAATCGCAATGAAATTTTGTACACATGTTCCTCAAGAAAATGTCCATCCGTAGTGCCAAAATTGGCTGATAATATTAAAAATTATCTATTAAAAAAATTTAAAGTAACAAAAAACAGGAAAATATCGTTTTTTTTTAATCAAAAAAATTAAAAAATTTAAAAAATTTAAAAAATTTAAAAAAAAATACTCAAGTGCAACATAATTTTTTTGTATTTAATTTTATTTCAATTAAAATATAAAAAAAAAACTTTTCGTATAAAATATCGTTTTGAACTCGTTTTTGTAGAGATGCTCTTAGTGTTTCAGACGGTACTCGTAGCCACCGTTGGAGGCATAGCTTCCGGACTTGTGGCCACCGCGGAGTCCGGATCCCTGAAGGTGACCTGAGCCGGAGCCATGGCCGTAACCAGAGGCGTGGCTAGAGCCGGAGTAGCTGACGTGAGAAACTGCCGGTGCGGAGTAGGTCTTCCTGGGAGCAGCAGCATATGATCCATGGTGAACTGAGGCGGCTGGCGAGGAGTAGGAGGCGGCTGGAGCGGAGTAGGTAGAGGCAGAGGAAGAGTAAGCGGCAGCTGGAGCCGAGTAGGTGGCGGCGGGAGCGGAGTAGGTGGCGGCGGGAGCGGAGTAAGATGCAGCAGGAGCGGCATAGGAGGATCCTCCAGTGCTATATCCTTTATGGGAGGCAGCGGGGGCAAGATACTGCCTGGAGGGAGCAGCCACTGGAGCGGAATAGCTTCTATGAGAGGCAGCTGGAGCCGAATAGGAGCCACTGGATCCTCCGGAAAGGGAATAGGAGGGACCAGAAGAGGCTCCACCGGAATAGGAGGCAGCTGGAGCGGCATAGCTCTTGACAGGTGCCAGGTACTGCCTAGAAGGAGCAGCAACAGGAGCCGAGTAGCTTCTATGCGAGGCAGCAGGAGCGGCGTAAGATGATCCTGAGGAGTACGAGGTCACGGGAGCAGCATAAGATCCATGGGAAGCCGATCCAGAGGAGTAAGATCCCAGGGAAGCAGCTGGAGCCGAGTAGGATCCATGAGAAGCGCTTCCCGAAGAGTAAGAACCATGAGAAGCCGATCCTGAGGAGTAGGAAGCCACAGGAGCCGAGTAAGATCCATGGGAAGCCCCTCCAGAGGAGTAAGATCCATGGGAAGCCCCTCCAGAGGAGTAAGATCCATGGGAGGCCACCGGAGCGGAGTAGGTAATAGCAGGTGCTCTGCGGGCATAAGTGGCAGCCGGAGCCGAGGCATAGGAACCGGAGGAGCTGCTGGCCGCAGCACTATAACCGCTCTGGGCGCCCACCTTGGGCGGCAGGTAGGAATTACTCAATGGCATCACCGATCCCACAAAGGCCATAGCCAAAAACAAAGTAAATCCAAAGGAATTCTGCAAAAGAGAGAATAATACGTTGAATTACCGACATAGAAGAAAGGGGCTATTGGGAAGGAAAGGGGCTTCCCGCAAGAAACCTCGAAAAAAATCCAAGTCACTTACCATTATTGCTATTTTTGATTACAAGTTTCAACCGCTGTTCCAGCTTCTAAGGAGGCAGATGGAACTCTGTGAGCCAAGATCAGTGAGCCAAGACTTTTATAGGCGATCTTCGGGCAATGCCAGTGCGGTTCTTTCGAGGCACTTGCCATTCCCCCAGCAAGACGCACACCAAACACAAAAGAATTAAAAACAACCCAAAAAAAAAAAAGAAAAAATAAAAATAATAAATAAATAGCAAAAGTCTTAGAACGCAATGATGATAGTTTCGCTTACTGTCTGGTGGCTTTTGGTTTAAACAGCACTGAGCTACAAAATCAAGGAACGAAAATGGACGTATAAAGATAAAGTTTTAAAGCAAAGATTATATATAATAATATATAAATAATAACAATATTATATATAAATATAATAATAACCATATTTTTGTATTAAATAATAAATAATAATATAATATACAGACTTTTTTTTTAAAGGCTTTCAAGAAATACTTTTCTCACAAATCAACGTTTATTTATTTTAATTTTCTTTAAGATTTTTATAGTCTAGGAGTGGTGGGGTTTTAAACAAATAATCTCTTTAATAATTTAAACTCTAAAAGCTGGTATTTTTAAGTAATATTTGTTTTATCATTTTATTTTTAGTTTTAAATAATTATGGCTTATTAGGCTTAAAAATATAAATAGATTTATCCTGTAGGTACCTCTAGCTTTCTATAAGGAGCATCAAAAATCAATGACTGTTTCTATTTAGTTCAAAATTTTGATGTGCAGTGTAAATGAAGAATAGCGCGATTGGAGGATGTCGTAGCCTCTATTTATTTCGAGCGTTTATACTTATTTTTAGCCATGTCCATTTCGGAAGTCGCCGAGAGTAATTAATGATGCCCGCCGTTCTGTGGCGTTTTGTGTGCCGCGGGTGCGAAGTTCGCGCGGATAATCGCCTCCAATCCCCGCCAGAATCAGACACGAAACGAGAGGGCTTTAGTAACTGAAATCCGAGCTTCAAAATCCCAATCTTTCATCTGAAAAGCGAATTGTAAGCCCGCTTCTCGCATGCCAAACGATTACTCATCACTCACATTAATTATAAATCCCCGCATATCGGCGGGCTTAATGGTCGGATTTCCCCCTCAAATCCCCCATATATTCTTTCTTAAATGCGTGAGTTTATATAATTAAAAATAAAATGTTTGAATCTTTAGTCAAGAGTCTAATAGAATTGACAACAAACAAAAAATTGCAATTGTGGAATTTGCATAAAAATGGATAGGAATTCTGGGATTGAATTTATGGCAATAGCTGTTTAAAAATCATTTCATTTAGTATTCAATTTTTTTTATCTTTTGAAGAAAAAAGAGTCATAATTTAAAAGCGATTAAGATACATAAATAATAGAATAAAGTCAGGTTTCTAAAAATAATACTTTTAACTAAAAAATTTCTCTACTCTTTTTTTTTCAGCGTAAAAGATCACAAAGCAATTTATTTTTTTTGTTCCCCACCTTTCGAGGTGCGTAGTTTAATTGATTTTTTTTTCACGAATAGACTGTTAATAGCTATCTCGAAAAAAGATCAGTTGCTTTTTGGCTTCGAAGCCATAAAGATGTTGGGCCAACAAAAGAAATCCAAGACTCAATGTCAATCCAAAGAAAATAAGTTTAAAAAACCTTTAAAATAAATTTACTTTTATTTATTTTTCTGTGGCATATCCTTGGCATATGCCACAAATAGTATATTTTTCTTGCTGGCCACTGGCCTTCCATCATTATCCTCGTGACGAACTTGCAGGCTACCAGAGTTTAGGGTAAAACTCCCCACCAATTGGCCAGGTTTTATATAATAGTTTTGGCCCAAAGAAGTGGGTCGATGTTCGGTGATGAAGTGATACATCATGGGATCCGTTTCCTCAATGATTAGCTTGGGTCTGGAGGTTGTCATTGTCATGGCTTCCGTATCCATTGGGCTGCCAATGGAATCAATTGGTTGGGCGACATTTTTGGGAACCGTTATAATTAAAAAATAGGCTATAATCTTCAGGTAATTCATGGCTAAAAAAAGAAATATAAATGACGAAATTTTATAAAATGTTATATAAAAATAAATAAAATATTAAACAATATAATTAAATATATGAATAAGCTAAGAACAAAATTCGTGGTTGGGAATTATAGTGTGGGAATTGTGGATAACACCGAAATGATAACTATTTTGCTTAAAGTATAAACTATAAAATGCTGATAACCAACCATTTTTTTGTCGAATTTCAAAGTAGGGAATTACATGAGATATACATTTTATAAACTAAACAAAAGTCCAAGAGTTTTATAAACATTTTAGTAATGAAATCTCTCTCATTCCTCACTCTCCTTGCAATCCAAAGAAATTCTAGGTTTAAGATCGAAATAAAAATTAGAAGATACTGATGAACAAGAATTTTCAAAATACACCAAGAAACTAAAATCAGAGAGAAAATTATTTTTTTCAAAAATCTTTGTTATGAAATCTTACCACTATTTTTTTAAATTGAATTCACTCTCCCTGTAATCCAACGAAATTGTAGGTTTAAGAACCTTGATCTCCTAGGATATAAATTTTACAATATTCTAAAGTTTTATCAAGATACAATAATTAGAGTATTAATTTTGTAATCACTGTAGTAACGAAAACTTACCACTATTTGTCAGATTAAATGCAAGTCCTCACTCTCCTTGTAATCCCAAAAAAATGTAGGTTCTGAAACCTTTTAATATGAAATGCGATTCCTTCTGCTTGCAATTCTGTAATGCGATTCCTACTGGTTCAGCTGCATTCTTTTATATCCTGAGCTGGGATTCTGAACCTTCAGGAAGAGCTCTCTCCCAACTTTTGTTGGGCCCCTTCCTGATCAGCTTTCGATTGTTTTTTGCTGGCTTCTGTCAATTGTTATCTTTTATTGTTTGCTTTTTATTTTTCGTGGCCCGTTTTGGGCATAACAAGTTTTGGACATTAACCCGATTTCGATTTCGCACTAACCGATACAATTTATAAACATATGCATCGGTGTGTATAAAACTTTTTGTTTCTGTTTTTTTGGTCCATTCACGAGAAACAGAGGCGAATCGAAATGCAAATTTTTGGTGACCATATGGAGTGCATATATATCCGTATTGGCACTATACATATATATATATATTTCAATTTATATATATGGAGTCATATTTGCCTGGCGACAGCTTCGATTAGATTGCTTTCGATTGGATTAGGTATTCAATGTATAATTAATAAGCTCTGCTCTCCTAATGGCAAATAAATGTTTGCTAGTTTGTTTATATATATCATTCCGTTCGATTTATAGTTTTAAAGTCTTTATTTTTACCAGAAGTTTTCGTTGAAGGCAGCTTCAACTATTTGATTTCTAATAAAAATTGGTGCACAGATTTGGATCTTATTGGGGATCTTATGGCATTTTAATTCGAATTTTAGGGAGCTTAGGTTCACTTTAAGTGTCAAAACATAGATTTAATGGTAGCTGGAAGCTGTGGTAATAAAATTGGAATTTTGTTTGTCAAATGCGTTGAAAAATTCCACTGTATTGGCTAATTTTTTATAAACTTGTTTCTCTTACAAGTTTTGAAAGTTTTTTAATAGGTTTATTTAATAGAGTTAGGATTTTGTGGTTTTTAGATTGATTTTGCACATTAAAAGAAATGGATTTTGGAAACTAAAATAAGAGAAATACTTTTGAATTTGAATTTTGTCATTTTGAACAACAATTTTTATTGTTTTATTTTTGGTTTAAACTAAAAAATTTAATCAAAAATCTATAAAAGCACTGATCTTTGATATTTTTATCACTGTTTTGTTTTATGTATAAGTCTTTTGTCTTTAAATTTATTTATTATGATCTTTTATTCTGCATTTTTTCTCGATATTTATCGAAAACCGATAAAAACTGATCTTGGTTTTGATATTTTATCTTTTAATAATTCACCATATTGATCGATAAATAATATATTCAAAATAATCAAAATAATATATTGATCTATATTAATCGACAACCGATAAAAACCAAAAACTGTACTGATCTTTGATCTTGTTCATACTTATTTTTTTTAGAAATTCTTTTAAAGAAATTCCCCTTCAATCTGATTAAAAGATTTGTGTTTTTGTTTTTTTTTAGCACATTATTTATGATTTATTTCACGTTAAAAAAAAAAGTTCGTTGTATGATTAGCTTCGTTTTTGGTGGATTCAGTATCTAGTAAACGTAACCACCGTTGGAACCGTAGACGGTGCCGGATCCGGAGTAGCTGCTGACCACTGAGGGAGCGGTGTAGGAGGAGACAGCCGGGGCGGAGTAGGTCTTGGCCACCACAGCGGGAGCAGAGTAGCTGGAGACGGCGGGGGCGGTGTAGGTGGACACAGCTGGGGCGGAGTAGGTCTTGACCACGGCGGGAGCGGTGTAGGCCTTGGTCACAACTGGAGCGGTGTAGGTGGAGACAGCGGGGGCGGTGTAGGTGGACACAGCCGGGGCGGAGTAGGTGGACACTGCCGGGGCGGAGTAGGTCTTAGCCACCACAGCGGGAGCGGTGTAGGTGGAGACGGCGGGGGCAGAGTAGGTCTTGACTACGGCGGGAGCGGTGTAGGCCTTGGTCACCACAGGGGCGGTGTAGGTCTTGACCACGGCAGGAGCGGTGTAGGTCTTGGCCACCACAGGGGCGGTGTAGGTCTTGACCACGGCAGGAGCGGTGTAGGTCTTGGCCACCACAGGGGCGGTGTAGGTCTTGACCACAGCAGGAGCAGAGTAGGTGGAGACAGCAGGAGCCGAGTAGGTGGACACAGCTGGGGCAGTGTAGGTCTTAGCCACAACAGGAGCAGTGTAGGAAGTCACAGCTGGAGCCGAGTAAGTCTTGACCACGGCGGGAGCCGAGTAGCTAGTGTAGCTCTTGCCCAGAACCGGAGCGGTGTAGGTGGAGGTGACGGCGGGAGCGATGTAGGCCTTGGAGACAGCGGGAGCAGTGTAGGTGGTCTTGGCCACTACAGGAGCCACGTAGGAGGCAGCGGGCTGCTCGTAGGAGACGGACTCCTCGGCGGCAGCTGGAGCGGCGTAGGACTCGCTGGTGTAAGAGGCAGCAGGAGCGGAGTAGGACTCGGACTCGTAGCTGGCCTCGGCGGCGGGGGCGGACTCGTAGGTCTCCACCGAGTTGGTGGCCTCGACGGGAGCCTCCTGGTAGGACTCGTAGCTGGTGGAGGCAGCGGCGGAGTGGGGTGGCAGGTAGGTGTTGGTGAGGTGGCTGACATCGGCGGAGGCCAAAGCCAGGAGGGCCAGAGACAAGACGGCGAAGAATTTCTGCAAAAAAAAAGGCGAAATAGTGTCAGACAATCGAATGGCTGGGAGGAGACTATCAGGATAACTGTGTGGTAACTGGGAGGTGGAACTCACCATGCTGTTGCTGTTTCCAGAGACGGGAGAACACTAGTGAAGAACTGGCCACGAGACAACATATTTATAGCCGAAATGGCCAAAATTTCTGGCCAACTTGATACACGAATGTCAAAAGGTGCTACAAAACCAGAACAAATGCCGGCGAATGGGATGGGTGATTTAGATTTCGATTTTTTTTGTGTTTCATTTTTGGAATAAAGGTATCAGACACTGTGACAAAAAGGTAGGATAAGTTTACTGATTCTTTTATACTTTTGCTAAGAAAAATATGAATATAAAATATATAACATTTTATTATTAAGAATTAAAATAAAGAAATTGTTAAAGAAAATTTCTAAAAATTAAATCTTTCATCTTATTCTTTAGAAGAAGCTTTTCTTCTTTTCTAAAATTTTCTAAGAGGTTTTTTCTAAAATTTCTACAAAATATGTTAATAGACAAAAAAATTAAAGAAACAAATTACAGAATAACCATTTTTTATAAGAAAATAGGTAATTTAAAATAAAAAATATATATTTCAATATATAGAAAAGCCACACAAGATATGCATTCAATTTTTAATAAATATAAAATATGAATTACTAAATAAGAAATTTAAAAAAATCGCTGAGGACAGCAGTTTATTTAAATTTGAATATCACTCTTCTAGTTGTTACAAGTGTATAACTTAGTTTAACAATAATCCCATTGTTAGCTTGTTTGTTGTTTTTTTTTCTGTGCATAAAGTCACAAACTATATATCGCCTATAAAGTAGACGGGAGAAATAATAATGAAGCACTTGGTTGGCAAAGTCAGCTCATTAGTCGAGCCATAATATTCGGATCCCAAAGACCTCCACCACGTACCCCTACCCCAGCCCCGCCCCTGTTCCAGGTGATTCTTTTGATTGTGATTTTGATACTCGATCCGAAAACGATTCCGAGCTAAAACCGATAACAGGCCGGTCAGCAGAAGAACAAGGGGGCAGCAGAGAAATGTTATACATGTGAAATGGGCAGAGAAACTCGTTATGGAACTCCATTCATAATTCAGTTCCGTCACTTGCTCATCCATCAAGGCATAAACAAAAAAAATTTGAAAAGCAAAAAGCACCAAGCAAGCAACACAAAAAAAACACGAAACCCTAAAAAAAAGAAGATCTCTGACGTCGATCGAGTTCTAAACCATTAATCATATTCGGGGGAATTACCTAGAAATACAAAGACCTTTACAGGGCAGGAAAGTGTGTTTCCAAAATCAGTTTGATTTTTGGAAATGCCCGTTTCAAAATGAAAACTTTTAATAGATTTTTTTTAAGTCTAAAGCGCAAAGTTATTTTTAAATTATTGATCATTATTCAATACAATGTCAATAAATTTTCGGTTTTGCCAACACATTTTAAAGCCATTAAATGTTTTTGGTTCATAATTTATGAAAACCACAAATAATTTATTATTATTTCGTTTAAAACGGAATTTAAATTGAAACAAGAAGATAATGGAAGGTATTTATTATTCATTTAACTTTAGTTTTACCTTAATATAAGACAAGATAGGACAAAAATTATTAGCAACATTGTTCCTTTTTTAAGTTTAAAACTCAATGCAATAATATTATGTTTAACTTAAAATGCATTTTATTTTAAACAATTATTAATATACATCATGCTATTTTTCAGTTGAAATAGTTATTTTTCCTACCTTATTTTATTCTCTTATTTAAATAGATTTTTATAAACTTGCAGAGGGTATTAATATTATGTATATTATGATATTCTCATATCATTCTCATTCGTGATATATATCCGGTTTTAACTGCAAGGGTATATCAACTTCGGCTCCGCCCAAAGTTAGCTTTCCTTTCTGGCTTTGTCCATTTTTCGTAATGCGATCCCTTGAAAACGGGGCTTACCCCTAAAGGGCCTACAGTGATGCCTATATCTTCCCCAATTCTCATCCGATTCTCAAGCGGAGTACCTTAAAAGATTTAAAGATCGATTGCCCACCATTCTGCATCAAAATCCTGAGTCAAAGGATTTTTACATATTTTGTCCATTTTCGTGATTGGGTCCCTTGAAAATGGGGTTTTCCCCTAAAGGGCCTACAGTGATGCCTATATCTTCCCCAATTCTCATCTGACTCTCAAGCGGAGTACCTTAAACGATTTATAGATCGATTGCCCACCATTCTGCATCAAAATCGTGAGTCAAAATATTTTTTAGATTTTTTGTCCACTTTTGTGATGGGATCCCTTGAAAATGGGGTTTTCGCCTAAAGGGCCTACAGTGATGCCTATATCTTCCCCACTTCTCATCCGATTCTCAAGCGGAGTACCTTAAACGATTTATAGATCGATTGCCCACCATTCTGCATCAAAATCCTGAGTCAAAATATTTTTCAGATTTTTTGTCCACTTTTGTGATGGAATTCCTTGAAAATGGAGCTTTCCCCTAAAGGGCCTACAGTGATGCCTATATCTTCCCCAATTCTCATCCGATTCTCAAGCGGAGTACCTTAAACGATTTATAGATCGATTGCCCACCATTCTGCATCAAAATCGTGAGTCAAAATATTTTTTAGATTTTTTGTCCACTTTTGTGATGGGATCCCTTGAAAATGGGGTTTTCGCCTAAAGGGCCTACAGTGATGCCTATATCTTCCCCACTTCTCATCCGATTCTCAAGCGGAGTACCTTAAACGATTTATAGATCGATTGCCCACCATTCTGCATCAAAATCCTGAGTCAAAATATTTTTCAGATTTTTTGTCCACTTTTGTGATGGAATTCCTTGAAAATGGAGCTTTCCCCTAAAGGGCCTACAGTGATGCCTATATCTTCCCCAATTCTCATCCGATTCTCAAGCGGAGTACCTTAAACGATTTATAGATCGATTGCCCACCATTCTGCATCAAAATCGTGAGTCAAAATATTTTTTAGATTTTTTGTCCACTTTTGTGATGGGATCCCTTGAAAATGGGGTTTTCGCCTAAAGGGCCTACAGTGATGCCTATATCTTCCCCACTTCTCATCCGATTCTCAAGCGGAGTACCTTAAACGATTTATAGATCGATTGCCCACCATTCTGCATCAAAATCCTGAGTCAAAATATTTTTCAGATTTTTTGTCCACTTTTGTGATGGAATTCCTTGAAAATGGAGCTTTCCCCTAAAGGGCCTACAGTGATGCCTATATCTTCCCCAATTCTCATCCGATTCTCAAGCGGAGTACCTTAAACGATTTATAGATCGATTGCCCACCATTCTGCATCAAAATCGTGAGTCAAAATATTTTTAGATTTTTTGTCCACTTTTGTGATGGGATCCCTTGAAAATGGGGTTTTCGCCTAAAGGGCCTACAGTGATGCCTATATCTTCCCCACTTCTCATCCGATTCTCAAGCGGAGTACCTTAAACGATTTATAGATCGATTGCCCACCATTCTGCATCAAAATCCTGAGTCAAAATATTTTTCACATTTTTTGTCCACTTTTGTGATGGAATTCCTTGAAAATGGAGCTTTCCCCTAAAGGCCCTACAGTGATGCCTATATCTTCCCCAATTTTCATCCGATTCTCAAGCGGAGTACCTTAAACGATTTATAGATCGATTGCCCACCATTCTGCATCAAAATCGTGAGTCAAAATATTTTTTAGATTTTTTGTCCACTTTTGTGATGGGATCCCTTGAAAATGGGGTTTTCCCCTAAAGGGCCTACAGTGATGCCTATATCTTCCCCAATTCTCATCCGATTCTCAAGCGGAGTACCTTAAACGATTTATAGATCGATGGCCCACCATTTTGCATCAAAATCCTGAGCCAAAATATTTTTTAGATTTTTTGTCCACTTTTGTGATGGGATCCCTTGAAAATGGGGTTTTCCCCTAAAGGGCCTACAGTGATGCCTATATCTTCCCCAATTTTCATCCGATTCTCAAGCGGAGTACCTTAAACGATTTATAGATCGATTGCCCACCATTCTGCATCAAAATCGTGAGTCAAAATATTTTTTAGATTTTTTGTCCACTTTTGTGATGGGATCCCTTGAAAATGGGGTTTTCGCCTAAAGGGCCTACAGTGATGCCTATATCTTCCCCACTTCTCATCCGATTCTCAAGCGGAGTACCTTAAACGATTTATAGATCGATGGCCCACCATTTTGCATCAAAATCCTGAGCCAAAATATTTTTTAGATTTTTTGTCCACTTTTGTGATGGGATCCCTTGAAAATGGGGTTTTCCTTTAAAGGGCCTACAGTGATGCCTATATCTTCCCCAATTCTCATCCGATTCTCAAGCGGAGTACCTTAAACGATTTATAGATCGATGGCCCACCATTTTGCATCAAAATCCTGAGCCAAAATATTTTTTAGATTTTTTGTCCACTTTTGTGATGGGATCCCTTGAAAATGGGGTTTTCCCCTAAAGGGCCTACAGTGATGCCTATATCTTCCCCACTTCTCATCCGATTCTCAAGCGGAGTACCTTAAACGATTTATAGATCGATTGCCCACCATTCTGTATCAAAATCGTGAGTCAAAATATTTTTTAGATTTTTTGTCCACTTTTGTGATGGGATCCCTTGAAAATGGGGTTTTCCCCTAAAGGGCCTACAGTGATGCCTATATCTTCCCCAATTCTCATCCGATTCTCAAGCGGAGTACCTTAAACGATTTATAGATCGATGGCCCACCATTTTGCATCAAAATCCTGAGCCAAAATTTTTTTTAGATTTTTTGTCCACTTTTGTGATGGGATCCCTTGAAAATGGGGTTTTCGCCTAAAGGGCCTACAGTGATGCCTATATCTTCCCCACTTCTCATCCGATTCTCAAGCGGACTACCTTAAACGATTTATAGATCGATTGCCCACCATTCTGCATCAAAATCCTGAGTCAAAATATTTTTTAGATTTTTTGTCCACTTTTGTGATGGGATCCCTTGAAAATGGGGTTTTCCCCTAAAGGGCCTACAGTGATGCCTATATCTTCCCCAATTCTCATCCGATTCTCAAGCGGAGTACCTTAAACGATTTATAGATCGATAGCCCACCATTTTGCATCAAAATCCTAAGTCAAAATATTTTTTAGATTTTTTGTCCACTTTTGTGATGGAAT